TTTCTGAATACCTTCCCCAGTAGTCACGAGCCAAAAAGTCCTTGCTGGCCTTCTTGATCCTAGGACCCATATTTAAGCAGAAACTACATAAGGGTATGCTTAAAATAGTGGGACTTCTAAAGATGTTTAAGCTCCTTTTGCTGCTTGGATAACCTCATTCCTGAGAAAGTTTTGAAGACACTTGAAGGGACATTTGGGAGGAATACCTAGAACTTTGGCTAAGTTTTTATCTAAATACTTTGGATATTTTATTTTCTTCATTGGCTCTCACACAGTGTCAAGAGTATCACTGACCCTATTTCATTTTTCTCTAGGAGCAGATTATGGCCTTTGCAAGCAAATGAATGCTCCTTTTCTAGGCATTTTGTTGATGGTGAATGAATATCCTTTCTGAAGACCATCACATATTTCAAGTTTTAATTTAATAAATTTACATTACACTCTCCAGTCAGTCTTCTCTTCTGCTTAATGAGCCTGTGGGGCCTAAATAATGAGAGATTTGCTGTGAGGAGGGCATTATCAATCAAGCCAAAAAACAAAACAAAACAAATAAAAACCCAAGTGAAGACTATTATGATGTGGTTGAAAAGAAACCTTTTATTACTCAAACAGAAATTGCTCAAAGTGCTTTCTCCTTCATTTTCACTTGTTAATCCTTTCTAAAAAGATGTATAAAAATTAATTTGCTCTTAACTTGAAATGGACTATCTACATAGGGTATTTTATATGACCCTCATGGTGACCACAAGGAAAAAAACCTACAGTAAGAACCCAAAATAAAATGAGAAGGGAATCTAAACCTAACACTAAATAAAGCCATTAAACCACAAGAGGAGTGAAGAAAAAGAAACAAACTACAGAACAGCCAGAAAACAACAAAATGGCAATAACTATATATACTTACCATTAATTTAAATGTAAATAGACTAAATTTGCCAATCAAAAGACAGCTGAATGGATAAAAAAGGAGACCCTTCTGTATGCTGCATTTAAGAGACTCATTTTAAGTAGACATACACAGACTGAAACTGAAGGGATGGAAAAAGAGACTCCAAGGGAATTAGAAGAGTAGATCTACTAATATCAGACAAAATAGAGTTTAAAATAGACTAATAAAAGACAAAGAAGGGCATCACATAATGATAAAGGGTCCAATCCAACAAGAAGATAATAACATTTACAAATATATATGCACCCAACATAGGAGGACCAAAATACATAAGGCAAACATTAACAGACCTAAAGGGAGATAATTGAAAGCCATTTAAAAATAGTAGAAAACTTTAATATCCCACTCTCATCAGTGGATAAATCATCCAGACAAAAAAATCAATATAGAAACATGAGCCGTAACACATTAGGACAGAGGGACTAACATACAGAACATTCCATTCAAAAACAGCAAAATACACATTCTTAAGTGCATATAGAACATTTTCCAGTATAGATCACAAGTTGGGCTATAACATAGTCTGAATAAATGAAAAAAATAGAGGTCATTTTAAGCATTTTTCTGACCAGAATGGTATGGAACTAGAAATTTATTACAAGAAGAAAATGGGAAAAACCACAAAGGCAAGATTAAGCAACATGATACTGAACAACATATGGGTCATGAAAGAACTCAAAGGGGAATTCAAAAAATACCTAGGGACAAGTGAAAACATATATGATATACCAAAATCTATGGAATGCAGCAGAAGCAGTTCTTATGTTCATAGAGTTGTAGACCTACCTCTAGAAACAAGAAAAATCTCAATCTAACTTTACACCCAAAGGAACTAGAGAAAAGAGCAAATGAAGCCCTAGACTAGAGGAAGGGAGAAAATAATAAAGATCTGAATGGAATAAATGAAGACTAAAAAGATCAATGAACCTATTTTTTTTGAAAAACAAAATCAAGAAACCCTTGACTAACCAAGAAAAAAAGACAACTCCATAAATCAAAAATGAAAATGTTACAACTGATACCACAGAAATAGAAAGGATCATAAGAGACTACTATGAACAGTTATGCCAACAAGCTAAATAAGAAGGGATAAATTCCTAGAAATATAATCTAACAGGACTGAAATCATGAAGAAATAGAAATCTAAGTAGACTGAATACTGGTAAGGAGATTGAAACAGTAAATCAAAAACATCTCAAACAGAAGTCTAATACCAGATGGCTTCACTGGTGAATTCTATCACACATTCAAAGATGATTTAATAGATGTCTTCCTCAAACTTCCAAAAAACTGAAAGCTTCAAACACATTTACAAGAACAGTATTACCCGGATGACAAAATCTGACAAGGGCACCGTGCACACACACACAAAAAAAATTACCGGCCAATATTCTGGATGAACATAGATGCAAAAACCCTCAACAAAATATTTAAAAACTGAATGAAAATGTAGACTAAGGATCATAACACCATGATCAACTGGTTTACTCCAGGGATGCAAGAATGGTTCAGTATCTGCCAATGAATGTGATAACATCACACTAACAATGAAAAACATTATTTCAATAGATGGAGAAAAGCCATTTGACAAAATTCATCCATTTATGAAAAATAACAAAGTGATTCTAATAGGGACTGTACCTCAGCATGGTAAAGGCCATATAGGAAATCCTACCGCTAATATGCTCTGGTGAAAGCTGAAAGCTTTTCCTCTAAAAATAGAAATAAGACAATGATGTCCACTTTCACCACTTTTATTAAACATACACTGGAAGTCCTAGCCATAGCGATTATGCAAGAAAGAAATAAAACACATACAAATTGTAAAGGGAGAAGTAAAACTGTCACTGCAGATGACATGATAAATATATAGATATACCTGAAGAATCCACCAAAAAAAAAAATGGATTAAGTTGCAGGATACAAAATGAATACACAGAAGCCTGCAATGTTTCTATATACTAATAATGAAGCACCAGAAAGAGAAGAAAACACACCCATTTATAATCACATCAAAGAGAATAAAATACCTTGGAATAAGTTTAACCAAGGAGGTGGAAGGCCTGTACACTGAAAACTAAGACACTTATGAAACTGAAAATGGCATAAATGGAAAAATACATGCTCATGGATTGGAAGAATATTGTTAAAATGTCCATACTAAACAAATACAGACTCAATGAAATACCTACTAAAATTCCAGGAGCATACTTGACTAAAATAATACTAAAATTTGTGTGGACCACAAAAAATCCCAAATAGCCAATGCAATCTTGAGAAAGAATAAAGCTGGAGATACCATGCTCCCCAAAGTACACTACGAAGCTACAGTAACCAGAACAGTATGGTGTTAGTACAAAAATAGAAACTTTGGTCAATGGAATAGACTAGAGAGCCCAGAAATGAACCCATGCTTATATGGTCAGTCTGTGACAAAGGAGGCAAGAATATACAGTGGAGAAAAGTCAGTCTCTTTGATACATGGTGTTGGGAAAAACGGACAACGTGCAAAACCACTTTCTTATACCACACGTGAAAATTAACTCAAAATGGATTAAAAGAATGTAAAACCTGAAACCATAACATTCCTAGAAGAAAACAGTGGTAAAACCTTGATAGGGAGCTTAGCAACATCTTCGTTATCTGATTCCTAAGAAAAGGGAAAAAAGCAAAAACAAACATGGACTACAACAAACTAAAAAGCTGCAGCACAGAGGAAACTGTCATCAAGATGAAAAGACAACCTGCTGAGAAGATATTTCCAAACCCTATAATCCAGTAAGGGATTAATATCCAAAATATATAAAGAATCATAAAACAATTTTTTTTTAATTTAAAAATGGGCTGAGGCTGGATTAATACTTAGTCCATAGGCACACACCTGATCATCTGATCATCTACATTTGCCCTCTTACAGCACTAAACTATGTTTTCTACCTTTATCTTGCATCTACCTACCACTTCAGCATTTTATTAAAAATAAAAATAATAATAATAATAA